ATTTTGAATGCTGAGGCTGAGGCTGGCAGGCTGCATGAAGGCTGAGGCTGAGGAGGCTGCAGGCTGAGGCTGAGGCAGGCTGAGGCTGAGGCCGAGGCTGAAGGCAGACTGAGGCTGAGGCTGAAGGCTGAGGCTGAGGCTGAGGCTGAGGCAGGCTGAGGCTGAGGCTGAGGCTGAGGCTGAGGCTGAGGCTGAGGCAGGCTGAGGCTGAGGCTGAGGCTGATGAGGCTGAGGCTGAGGCTGAGGCAGGCTGAGGCTGAGGCCGAGGCTGAAGGCAGACTGAGGCTGAGGCTGCAGGCTGAGGCTGAGGCTGAGGCAGGCTGATGCTGAGGCAGGCTGAGGCTGAGGCTGAGGCTGCAGGAGGCTGAGGCAGGCTGAGGCTGAGGCCGAGGCTGAAGGCAGCTGAGGCTGAGGCTGAAGCAGGCTGAGGCTGAGGCTGAGGCAGGCTGAGGCTGAGGCTGAGGCAGGCTGATGCTGAGGCAGGCTGAGGCTGAGGCTGAGGCTGATGCAGGCTGAGGCTGAGGCAGGCTGAGGCTGAGGCCGAGGCTGAAGGCAGACTGAGGCTGAGGCTGAAGCAGGCTGAGGCTGAGGCTGAGGCAGGCTGAGGCTGAGGCTGAGGCAGGCTGATGCTGAGGCAGGCTGAGGCTGAGGCTGAGGCTGATGCAGGCTGAGGCTGAGGCAGGCTGAGGCTGAGGCCGAGGCTGAAGGCAGACTGAGGCTGAGGCTGAAGCAGGCTGAGGGAGGCGAGGCAGGCTGAGGCTGAGGCAGGCTGATGCTGAGGCAGGCTGAGGCTGAGGCTGAGGCTGATGCAGGCTGAGGCTGAGGCAGGCTGAGGCTGAGGCCGAGGCTGAAGGCAGACTGAGGCTGAGGCTGAAGCAGGCTGAGGCTGAGGCTGAGGCAGGCTGAGGCTGAGGCTGAGGCTGAGGCAGGCTGAGGCAGGCTGAGGCTGAGGCTGAGGCTGAGGCTGCAGGCTGAGGCAGGCTGAGGCTGAGGCCGAGGCTGCAGGACTGAGGCTGAGGCTGAAGCAGGCTGAGGCTGAGGCTGAGGCAGGCTGAGGCTGAGGCTGAGGCAGGCTGAGGCTGCAGGCTGAGGCTGAGGCTGATGCAGGCTGAGGCTGAGGCAGGCTGAGGCTGAGGCCGAGGCTGAAGGCAGACTGAGGCTGAGGCTGAAGCAGGCTGAGGCTGAGGCTGAGGCAGGCTGAGGCTGAGGCTGAGGCTGAGGCTGAGGCTGATGCAGGCTGAGGCTGAGGCAGGCTGAGGCTGAGGCCGAGGCTGAAGGCAGACTGAGGCTGAGGCTGCTGAGGCTGAGGCTGAGGCTGAGGCAGGCTGAGGCTGAGGCTGAGGCAGGCTGAGGCTGAGGCTGTGACTGCGACTGCCGTTGCCACTGCGACTGTCATCGCGAATGCGACCACGACTGCGAGAACAGCAGAATTCTACAGCTGGATTATCATCTGAATCTTAAGGGGAATGCTTCCAGGTATGCTCCTACACATCGCTGTTAGGTTGCTTTGTCGGGATAATCTACGTTTTTCCCGGGACGCTTGCGGACTTAGTTGGCACGCCCCCACGGCGACGATTGCGAATCGCGACATTTCCCGTTTCACTCATCGTTGCATTAACCCGTCTTCGTTTTTTATCACACAGTTCTTGCGTGTTTGACAAACGCGTTCTTGCGTTTATAACATTGCGCCGTTGCACGTGCGCGATGGTGCGATTTGAGCAACGTCCCAGGCAATCTCGTGCGCGGCAGTTTTTTGGATTGAAAGTTGTGGGTGTTTGTTAAGCACGTTCGTGGTTTTATAGTCATGTTTTTCCCTGGCCCTCGGCGGTGCGTCTTTCGCAAGTTGCCGGGGCCCTCTCTTGAGGCACACGCAGCTGAAGACGGCCGTCGGGCCACGGGCTCCACAGAGAAGCCTTGAACACGTGAAACGTGATGCGGCGGGCGTGGAGGTGGCTCGGGTCGCCTTCAGCACGGTTTGTCGACGGGCTCGCAGACGCAGGCAGGATGTCTGACGGACTCGTGATTGTACATGTTCTGTGCGATCGGCCGCTCTGAGGCTCTTTGGCGGCGGCAGCGCCCTGTGCTCATTACGAGTCTAGGCGGCTCGCCTATCCCCCATCAGCCTATCCAGATACGATGCCCAGGCGCAGTTGACGACGACGACGACGACGAGTCAATCACAAAACCCTCGCGCAGGTTTCGCTCCGCGAGCCTTTGGAAAAGCTTTTGGAGGCTTCTTTGAATGCCTCTTGGAACCATCTTGACGCCATTTTGGAAGCCTTCTGTTCTTTCTTGGGGTTCTCTTGGGGCTCTTTGGGGTGTGTTGAGGCCTCTTGGGACGCTCTTGGGGCGCTCTTGGTTGCCTTGGGGGCCGTCTTGGATGCCTTCTGGCTCCCTTGGGCCATCCGGGGGCGATCATGAGGCCTCAGAGGTTCGTCGCAAGCGAAAATGCGAGACGGCACACGTCATTGATTTCCCCAGGCTTTGGATTGATTTTGGCCTCCCGGTGGGTGCCCTGTGAGTCTCGAAGGGCACTTGGAAGTTCCTTAGGGCTGTCTTGGAGTATCTTGGAGGTATGTCGAAAACTATCTTGAGCCATTTTGCGGTATCGTGGACCACATAGGAAGCCATCTTAGAATATTTTGCGGCCATCTTGGGCAATATTTGATGCTCCAGTGTGTCGCGGCCCTCTCCGTCCAGGATACAGGGTAGGGGGGTTGGAGGAGGGGTGAAGACACCCTCCCCGCCCGCAAGGTGTCTCGCTCACTCCCGCCCACCCTCCCAACATATCAGTAGCACCCGAGCCTCAGCATGTTAAGCCGTCGTCTATGGATGGACAACTACCGGGAACCGAAACAGGCTCCACGTGCGCGACGTTGAGGCGAGGTGCGCCACGCGTGCCAGGCGCGCCACGCGCCCCAGGTGCGCCAGGCAGCCCTGGGGCCTAAGCGTGCCAGGCATGCCTGGCGCGCCATATGTGCCGCGTGCTCCACGTGCACCATGTGTGCCGCATGGTGCAGCCGCGCCAGGTGCGCCACGTTCGGGGCACGCGCAGAGTGTGCCAGGTGCGCCCGCTGATGTGACAGCGCACATCGGGAGACATGTCGGCCCCCGCTAGAATTTCCCCAAACCTATGTACAATCGCAGCGGGGAAGCCATGATTGTGTCTGGTGTGCCTGCACAAAGCAGGCAGTATGCCAGCGCCCCCGCATTGCTGGGTCAAAAACCAATGGACGGTGATCGCGGCGTGGCCGCGTATGATCCAGATTTAGCCGCGACATGCGTGTTGATTTTGATACAGATGGTGGCCTTGCGCGCAGCAGGCAGTGTGATGGCACCCCCGCCGTCCATGTCACAAAGCAAGACAAGTGCTCGCGGGGCCCACGAGAGTGACGCAAGACTTTGGCCTACAGTGTATTATCTATGTTCTTGTTTGACGGATGGTGTGGGAGGGTGTCACTGGTTCTTGTTGGCTGCCTGTCGCTTGAGGGAGGGCGTGTGTATCAATATGGAACAGTTATACACCCTCCCGAATCAGGGAAGTATGTCCTTTTGAAGAACGTAGAACAGAACTCGTTATACCACCTCCGTCCAGGGGTCTGCTGGGATTACACAAGTTCCTAGTCGGGAGGTTCGGCCAGGCCTAGCAAAGAACAGCTAACAGTCCAATTCAGGGGCCCCAGAGAGGAGGGGGAGGGAGAGGAGGAGGATTGCGAGGAAAAGGAGGAGGAGGAAGAGGAGGAGGAGGAGTAGGAGGAGGAAGAAGAAGAGGAGGAGGAGGAGGATCAGGAGGAGGATGAGGAGGAGGAGGAGGAGGAGGAGGAGGATTGCGAGGGGTGGTGCACGAGGAGGAAGAACAGGAGGTCGAGGAGGAACAGGCGGTCTAGGAGGAGGATGAGGAGGAGGAGGAGGCGGGGTGCTGGGGACAAGCAAGGCGTGGCGCTGCTGCGTGTGCTGGTTTCCTGCAGCGTCTGCTTCTGCCCGCCCCCCCACCAGGTGGCCCATACGCTCACATGCAGAACAGTTGCTGCGGCACGTCGGCTCGCCACGCGCGTGCTTTACCGCCGTGTCAGCCGAGGACTGTGTGTGTGTGTGTGCGCGGCACTGTGTGCGTGCCCGCCGCCCCGCTGGTTCCGCTGCTCGCTGCGTGAGGGCCCAGCCTGCTCCGCAGCCCTGTCGGAGCGCTCAGCACGGTTGCCGTCGGCGTGCTTGCACATTGTGTTCCTCCGAAGTGGCTCGGCTCGCCTCGTGTGGGTCGGCTGTGCTCGCACATTGTGCTCCTCCGAAGCGGGTCGGCTGTGGGTCTCCGCCCCGTGCGCCTGAGAAGCGCGTGTGCAACACGGATCTGTACGCACTCGCTTCTTCCTCCGACGCGCCGGCGGCACTCTCAGTGGCGGAGTCCAGGTCGAGTGGGGCACGCGCAGGTCAGATGTTGCACTTTACGTGTAAACGCGGCAGGTACACACACACACCTGTTCAACGCGTACATCACACAACACACACGCACACATCACACCACACACAACACACAACACCCACACCACACCACACAACACATCACACACTACACACATCACACAACACACATCACACAGTACACATCACACAAGACACGACATACAACACACAACACTACGCCGAACAGCCAACATCCACTACCCGCCACACGCACACGCACACTCACACTCACACCTCACACTCACACGCACACGCACACGTGCATGCACGCACACACACACACACACACACACGCATGCACACGCCACACACACACACACACGCATACACACGCACACGCGCACACACACACACGCATACACACGCACACGCACACACCGATAGACAGAGAGAGAGAGAGAGACAGACAGATGCAGACAGAGAGGCAGACAGGTATAGGCAGGCGGACGGACAGACAGGCAGACAGACAAACACACGTTCACACACGCGCGCACAGACTTGCACATGCAAACGTGTTGCTCCTCGCTGAACTGCAGCAGGGGATGCCAGTTTTGGCCGGCCAGCTGATCGAGTCGACGGCCCACAGGCGTGAGACAAAAGGGCGCGTGCATAAGCGTTTGTGCGAGATCGAGCGAGTGAGCCAGTGAATGAATGAGGGTGAGGGTGTGGATTTACAAGTTTCTGTGGTTCGGTCGGTTGGGCTGCTTCGCTGTCGGCTGCATTCGGTCGATTCGGTTTGACCCGTTGGTGTGCCGCTGCATCCTTCTAGGCTGCGCTCGGTATGTTGTTTCGGTCGGTTTCTGTTTCGCCGTCTGTTCGGTCGGTTTGTAACTCTGTTGTCGCCGTGGACGCCTACGAGTTTGGTGAGGAACTTTGGGGCGTCGTATGTGCGAGTGTGTGTGTGTGTGCGAGTGTGTGAATGTGTGTGTGAGTGTGTGCGAGAGTGTGTGTCTGTGTGTGAGTGTGTGCGAGTGTGTGTGCGAGTGTGTGTGTGTGAGTGTGTGTGAGAGAGTGTGTGCGAGTGTGTGTGTATGTGCGAGTGTGTGTGTGTGTGCGAGCGCGAGTGTGTGGCTGAGGGACGTTCTTGGCGGGGCGACTGGCACGGTGGCAAGACCCCTGCGATGACAACTGGAGGCCCCATCGGGGGGGGGGGGCCGAGCGGCGGTGCCCCGCGCCGCCCTGCCAGGAGGCCAACGGCAAGATCGAGGCCGCGAACAACCGCATCAGGTCGCTGCGGTGGGAGCGCGACGAGGCTCCCGGTGCACAGGGGGCTCCTCCTCCTCCTCTTCCTCCTCCTCCTCCTCCCGCTTCTCCTCCTCCTCCTCCTGCTCCTCCTCCTCCTACTCCTCCTCCTCCCCCCCTTCTCCTCCTCATCCTCCTCCTCCTCCTCCTCCTCCTTCTGAGGATCGGTGTCGGACGAAGGGGGGAGAGGGACAAAGGGGGGCTACAGTCGAGACCCATGCCAAGAAGCACCCTGCTCGCCGCCAGGGTGCCCTGGGTTTCTTGGGTGTCGATGGCTCTGCTGTGGAAAGCGTGACGCTCCCACACCCCAAATCAGTGGACGTCCTGGGGTCTCAGGGTTAGGTTTCCTGCGGAAGGTTTCTTGTGGTCGAGCCCCTACTGTACGACATTTGCTGCATGCAATTCGTTCGCCAACCCCACTGTCCTTACCCCTCCCTTCGTCAGACCCGACAGGAGGCCAGGGGGAGGTCAGAGGAGGAGGAAGGACGGGAGCATGAGGAGGAGGAGGAGGAGGAGGCAGAGGAGGAGGAGGAGGTGGAGGCGAAGGAGGGGGAACATGAAGAGGGCGAGGAGTTGTAGTAGTAGCAGGAGGAGGAGGAGGACGAGGAGGAGGAGGGTGAGAGTAGTAGGATAAGGAGTAGTAGGAGCAGGAGGAGGAGGAGGAGGAGAATGAAGGGGCGGAGGTTCATTGCTCATCGAGGGAGAGGGGGAAAGGAGGGGGAAAGCATGGAGGAGCACCCTTTTAGGATTGGTAGGGAGGAACAGAAGGAGCAGGAGAAGGAGATGCAGAGTTTTACCCTTTGTACCTGGCGCGCTTTTACTCTGAGCGGTCACCCCGCTGGTTTCGCTCGGTTTCGGGAGGTCCTTGGTCCATCTTGGCCTCCCCCGCTCCTCTCTCTATGCTTTCCCTCCTCCCTCCGAGGATCGATCAGGAAGAGGAGTAGGAGGTGATGGCTATCGGAGCTCCTTTGTCTCGCCAGTGCGCCCAGTTCCCTGGTGTCGCCACCCTTGGAAGCGCAGTGGTCGCAAACGTCCATCGTGGATTACACTCTCACGGTCAGGATAATGCGCTGAGGGCGTGCGCTGAGGGGATTTCCCAGCAACGCCGCTGGCGCAGTCCACACCCCATGCCTTGCCAGGAGGACGTCAGGGCATTGGCAGAGAGCTCTCCAAGCCAGGATAATCACTCGCCCCCTGCGACAGAAAACTGCCGCTACACGCAACACGTCACCAATGCGAGCTCCGAAAGGTGACGGTCCCCTGCGTAAGGGCGACGACGCCCACTGGCAGTTGTGCATGGCCAGGCTTAGCCAGCATAGTTCTAGCAGGAAAATCATCCTCTCTTCCTCGTTTCTTTCCCCCCTCCTCTTTTCTCTTCTCCTCCTTTCTTTCCTTCCTGAGCGGCAGCGGCCGAAGCCCCGGCGCTGGTAAATCAGTGGTGAGAGCAAATATGGTATGTTCCCGTCGAATGCCGTTTTTTCCCGCGCAGTCTTGGTTCAATCAGGCGAAATGTTGGGCTTAATGTGGCTCAATCTGGCTTGATGGCCCTCGATCGGGTTTACTTTTTCTCTCCTCGGGCGGCAGATCATGGGAGTTATTGTAGCATTCGGGTGAAGCCCAGCTTCAATGTAGTGCCGTTGAGTGCCGCCTGGTGTGGTTTTTGCGCCTCCGCCGTTGTCCGTCTCCCCCGATTCTTCCCCCCCGGCTTCCTGCCTGCTCTCCCTTCTCTTCTTCCTCGCCCTCGCGAGGACCTCCCCGCAGTTGCCTCCCAGTTTTCCCTTCCGCCTTTTCCTCTCCCTCCGTCCTCCTTCCTCCTTCCTCCTTCCTCCTTCCTGCAGTTGCCCCCCAGGTTTCCCTTCTGCCTTTTCCTCTCCCTCCTTCCTCTCCCTCCTTCCTCCTTCCTCCTTCCCAGTTGCCTCCTGGTCTCCCCTTCCTCCTTCCTCCTCCTCCTCCTTCCTCCTCTGCCTCCTCCTCCTGAATGGCCTCGTCCTGCCCCCGCTGGCTGGCTGCGCCGCCCTGCGCCGCTCGCGGCATGCTTCGGGGCATCCTCCTCCTGTTTGAGTCGGGCATGGCCCTCCACAGGGATCAGGAGGGGAAAAAACACACAGACGCAATTAATCGTCGATTCCCCAGAGAATCGGTGGAAATATGGGAATTGGGCGGGAAGACAAACACCCAGAAAAGATTCCCAACCCTCCTGCGTTGGGTTCTCGTTTTGAATAGAGCACTGCTCGCGCGTCTCCTTCCCACCCCCTCCCGTCCCTCTCTTCCCCCCCTGCCTTTGACCTCGCCATCCCTGGGGGGCTGCTATCTGCAAAACTGTCGCCACGTTCGAGGCCTGCTGGGGGGCCAGCACAGTGGGTACACACCGCGGACTCAAATGGGACCTCGCCATCCCTGGGGGGCTGCGATCTGTGAAACTGTCGCCACTTTCGAGGCCTGCTGGGGGGCCCGGCACAGTGGGTACCCACCGCAGACTCAAATTCGACCTCGCCACCTCTCGGGGGCTGCGATCCGTGAAACTGTCGCCACTTTTGAGGCCTGCTGGGGGGCCCAGCACAGTGGGTACACACGGCGGACTCAAATGGGACCTCGCCACCCCTCGGGGGCTGCGATCTGTGAAACTGTCGCCACTTTCGAGGCCTGCTGGGGGGCCCAGCACAGTGGGCACGCACGGCGGACTCAAATGGGACCTCGTCAACTGTCGCCACTTTCGAGGCCTGCTGGGGGGCCCAGCACAGTGGGTACACACGGCGGACTCAAATGGGACCTCGCCATCCCTGGGGGGCTGCGATCTGTGAAACTGTCGCCACTTTCGAGGCCTGCTGGGGGGCCCAGCACAGTGGGTACACACCGCGGACTCAAATGGGACCTCGCCATCCCTGGGGGGCTGCGATCTGTGAAACTGTCGCCACTTTCGAGGCCTGCTGGGGGGCCCAGCACAGTGGGTGACTCGCCACTGCGAAACCCAGCACAGTGGGTACACATCAAATGGGACCTCGGGGGGCTGCGATCTGTGAAACTGTCGCCACTTTCGAGGCCTGCTGGGGGGCCCAGCACAGTGACCCACGGCGGATTCAAATTAGACCTCGCCATCCCTGGGGGGCTGCGATCTGTGAAACTGTCGCCACTTTCGAGGCCTGCTGGGGGGCCCAGCACAGTGGGTACCCACGGCGGATTCAAATTAGACCTCGCCATCCCTGGGGGGCTGCGATCTGTGAAACTGTCGCCACTTTCGAGGCCTGCTGGGGGGCCCAGCACAGTGACGCCACGCGGACTCAAATTAGACCTCGCCATCCCTGGGGGGCTGCGATCTGTGAAACTGTCGCCACTTTCGAGGCCTGCTGGGGGGCCCAACACAGTGGGTACCCACCGCAGACTCAAATTAGACCTCGCCATCCCTGGGGGGCTGCGATCTGTGAAACTGTCGCCACTTTCGAGGCCTGCTGGGGGGCCCAGCACAGTGGGTACCCACCGCAGACTCAAATTAGACCTCGCCATCCCTGGGGGGCTGCGATCTGTGAAACTGTCGCCACTTCCGAGGGCTGCTGAGGGGCCCAGCACAGTGGGTACCCACCGCAGACTCAGATTCGACCTCGCCATCCCTGGGGGGCTGCGATCTGTGAAACTGTCGCCACTTTCGAGGGTTGCTGAGGGGCACAGCACAGTGGGTACCCACCGCAGACTCAAATTAGACGCCGCTTTCGTACTTGTTCTCCTCCTGCAGTCACCGTCCCTCTGCTGCTGCCGTGCTGATGGTTCGGCTTCGCTCCCGACTCCCCATGTCCTCTTCGAGCCTGTAGCTGTCGCCCCTCGTTCTTGCATGGTTCTCCTGCGCATCATGCCATAGGCGCGTGTCCCAAGTAGCTTACACATTAAGTTGATTGTCCATGCAAGGTTCGGCCAACTCCTCGTTTCCATTGATACAAATGGGTTGGGTACGTCACAGGGTAATTGTGTGTATTTATTTGTGTGTCCCAGGGCCCCTTCAAGGGAGGAAGGCTCAGGAATAGTAACACAGAGTCTGGTGGCGGTGTTCGTGCCCTTTCTGGGCTTTTTGTCGATGCTCTTCTTCTGCGATTTAGAACAGAATCTTCCAACATCCGCCTGTAGGAGTATGATGCTCCAACCTGCTCTAGCCTTGATCACCAGAAAGAAGTTCGAGCACCAGGAAAGTACCGACACTCGAGGGTTCTCACGTGCCGGGCCCTGGGAGACGGGAGACGCCCCCCCGACACGGTTTCGACACTCTCTCGACCCGTATTCGGGTGCTCGAGATTGGTTCTGGGATGTGATCCTG